TGGGCTGGAGGAAAAGAAAGTGAAATAATGGATTCTGTCACTTAATTAGATCCAATAGATTGCACACACTGAGGAGGATTCCATGGCATTGCTGCTTGAGCCCCATTTTTGCCATCCTTTGGTTTATATGCAGCTCTTTTTTACTGGCCAGAGGCTTGTTCAGACTGATTTAAGAAACAGTCTTCACACTGCACAGAGACAGGTGAAATGGCCTTGATCTCATGGAGACAGGCAAAGATGAGCAGGGCCACCTCCAGCTAAGTACAGTGACAGAGCAAGTAATGGCAGAAGCCCTAGTTTGGTGGAGCCACAGCTTCTTACAAATAGCAAATAAAGTCTTTATTTATTATTTTCTTGCTAAGGAATGGTAAGAAGAAATTGGACTGACCTTTTGCTGTAGGAATGGTAAGAAGAAATTGGACTGACCTTTTGCTGTAGGAATGGTAAGAAGAAATTGGACTGACCTCTATTGCTGTAGATCAGAGGCAATAACAATAGCTAAGGAGAAGAGGATGTCCCAGAACACTGGACAGCCCTTATATTCTCTCTCTTCCACATGATTATGGGGTTCTTAGAGTGATCATGGAAGGGAGGAAGAGAAAGTAAAGAAAGGCATTTTTGAAATAGATGCTATATAGTCTTAGAATCTTTTTTTTTTTTTTTTTTTTTTTTTGAAGTTCTTAATACTTTTTCTTGGAAACTTAGAGCCAACTCCAGCTCTTCTGTCAATTCTCATTGAGTTTACAGTGGCCATGGGGGCAGGGCCTATTTTTTTTTGTTGTTTTTGTTTGGTTCTGTTCATCTGTTTGTTACCAGGTGCAAGTCCAAAGCCAAAATAATTGATCAGTTGACCAATGGTCAGTTGCATCCCTCCAAGGCAGGAGCTCCTCCATCCACTCTGCCACCCCAGCTGGGGTGGGGATCAGAGTGCTTGCAATTATGAAGGAAGGAAGGGGTTCTGAGGACAGCATGCTTGGCTGAAAGCCCACCTAGCTGGGAGTCTTTCTTTCTCTTCAATAAATTCACACCATGGGTTCTGCAGACATTGTTAGCATTGACCTGTTAATGGAATGAGGCCCCCAGCTGAGAAAGCAAGCTGGCATCCTGGAGGAGGAGACATCTACTGCAAGGCCTGGATGACAAAGAGCTGGTGAAGCCATGGACAAGCAGAGAAGGAGCGAGAAGAGGATGTCAGGCAGAGGGAACAACTTGAGCAAAGACCTGGCACTTATGGGCTCACTGTTAATATTAAAAAGAATTTGCACTCAAACTGTTGAACCAGGACCTATCAAGTATTCAAGCAATTCTCCCATAGGGCCTTTGAAGTCTTCGGTTGACCTCCCTATAGTTCAACCATCTGCCATTCTATGTCAGAATCCCATTTCTGGGCAGGGCTTAGATTTTCCTTCTGTCTCAAGACTTCTTAGCACCTGTTAAATCAGTGGATACAAACAAAGTTAGGGAGAGGTTGCAAATACGGCCTGAGGCTATATATGGTTCAGACAGGGCTTAGCAGGTAGGACCTTGAGGTTAGCTTCACAGCCAGTATTTTTGGAAACATGCTTGCATACTGTACACATTTGATGTTCCTATCCATGTAATAATTCATTCAGTATATTAAGAAAAAATGGCAGGGCTATTTTTTTTTTTTTTATTGAAGGAGACTGGGGCTAAGAAGGCCTGGATGTCTTGCATGAGATTATGCAAGTAAAGGTTGCTAAGCCAGGGTTTGAGCTCAGGTCTTTTGACTCAAATCTGGTGCTGCTTCCAGAACTGTGGGCTACTTCTCAGGGTCAGAACCAGCCCTTATCAAAACCATGAAGTTGATGGAGTTGTCTTTGGGCTTTCACTGTTATTCCCTTTACCTTTTACTCTCACCCAAGGGCAGATATCCAACTTGTGTTTTCTGTTAAGTCTCGTGGCTCTCACATGTGATGAAATAGAAAAATGACTTGGGCTTTGGAATCAGTTCTGACACAAGCAGGGTTGGCTTTATGGGCTTACAAGTCATGCACTTGCCCAGGATGCTGCCCCCAGAAGGATTTGTACTTGGCTTAATGCTCTGCTATCTCTGTCCTGAAATTCTTCATAATCTGTTGAACACAAAGTCCTGCATTTTGATGTTACACTGGACTCTGTAAATGAATTAGCTGGTTCTGCTAATAAGCTTAGGAGCGTGGTTATGTTTCTTATCTGGATCTCAGTTTTCACATCTGTAAATTAGAACCAATACAATTATTATATCTCAAAACATTCTTAAGAAGAATAAATCAGATACAATAGCAAATTTCCCAACAAACTTTTGTACATACGTGATTCTCACTAAATCTTAACCTATTTACATGTAATCTAGCATGGACACCTCTTTACTAATGCCCTACCTACTAGGTAAGCACTAAAACATTGGTCATATCTATGCAGAGCTTAGTTTTGTGCAAGAGAAGATGGTTATTTAGATTTTGCTGTGGTGAGAGCAGATTAAATAACAAGGGGAAAATATTCCGTTCTCATGCATCAGTTACTAGTTTGAACAAATGTGTAGACTTGGTAAGCAGGGTAATGAGGAAAACAAATGCTGCAGCAGAAACATTGGCTGAGAAATCAGACAGTTCCCATGACTCCCCAGCCAATACTAGGAGCACTCGTACTTCTCAAAGCAGCATTGAACTTGCTCAGCTATGGTTGGCCCAAGGTGAACAATCAAAACAAAACAAAACAAAATAACAAACTAGAAAACCAATGTAAAGAAAAGAAGAGAATGCAGAAACCGAGGTCTAAAACTGAGGATGTTTTTAAAACTTTCTGTCTAGGGCTGGTCTAACCAGCGCAAATATATTATTTCATTTAAACTTCCTAAAAACCCAAAGAGGTAGGTAACATTAGTAGCATTTTGTAGATAAGGAAACTAAGCTCACAGAATACTTACAACTTTAGAACACCCCATAGAATTCATAGTGTTTAGAATACAAACTATTTGAAAAGAATAGAGCTAGATGAGATAATCACGATTGTCTAGACAGTGATGTCAAATGAGTTGCATCTCATGCCTTAACCGTAATTTTTTTTTGTTAGGGCTGAGCTATGGTTTGCATATTTGTCCCTTTCAAAACTCATGTTAAAATTAAATCCCCAATGTGGTGGCATTAAGAGGTGGGACCTTTAAGAGGTGATTGAATCATGAGGACTCTGCTCTCATTAATGGGTTAATCCATTCACGGATTAATGGATGAGTGGGTTAATGGATTAATGGGTCATCATGGAGGCCAACTGGTGGCTTTATTATAAGAGAGAGAGAGACCTGAGTGAGCATATTAGCACGCTCAGTCCCCTCACTATGTGATGCCCTGTGCCACCTCAGGACCCTGCAGACAGTCCCTACCATCAAGAAAGCCCTCACCAGATGTAACTCCTTGATCTCAGACTTCTCAGCCCTCATAACTGTAATATATAAATCCTTTTTCTGTAGCATACATCAGTATCTCCTGGAAGGCTTTTACAGCATAGGCTTCTGAGCATCACCCACAGAATTTTTGATGCAGCACATCTGAGATGGGGCCTGAGAATTTGCAGATTCCCAGATGAGGCCAATGCTACTGTCTGGATCCACCCTGTGAGGCTTCCTATTGGTAACTTTCTTGAGCATTGATCTGATTCCTTTTAAAATGAAATGGAATTATTCAAACATGCATTTTAAAAAATCATACAGACTTAGTTTTTAATGTCTGTCAACAGCAGAATATTTGTCAATAAGAAGTTCTGAAAATTTGCATCAAAAATTGTTTAATTAGTTCTTGCTTTGGCAGCACATATACTAAAATTGGAATGATACAGAGAAGATTAGCATGGCCCTGGTGCAAGGATGACACAGAAATTCATGAAGCATTCCCTGTTTTTTGGAATCTCTCTGTATTGTTGGTGGGAGCATAAGATGATGCAACCACTAAGGAAAATAGTATGGAGGCTCCTCAAAAAATTAAAAATAGAATTATCATATGATCCAGCAATCTACTTTTGGGACTATATCCAAAATAAAGCAGGATCTTGAAGAGGTATTTGCATACCTATATTCATTATAGCATTATTCACAATAATCAAGAGGTGGAAGTAACCTAAATGTTTGATGACAGGTAAATCAATGAAGAAATGTGGAATATACATACAATGAAATATTATTCAATTTTTAAAAGGGAAATATCATCCTTTTTCTGTTGTGTAGCACATGAATAAACCTTGAGGACATTATATTAAGTGAAATACACCAGCCACAGAAGAGACACATCACTGTGTGATTCCATTCATATAAAGTATCAAAAGTAGCCAAAATCATAGACACACAAAGTAGAATGTTGGTTTCCAGGGTTTTCAGGGAGAGGAAAATTAGAGTTGGTATTTAGTGGTTATAGAATTTCAGTTTTACAAGATGAAAAGGTTCTAGAGCTCTGTTGCAAAACAATATGAATATACTTAACACTACAGAACTATATACTTAAAAATGATGAAGAGGGTAAAATTTACGCCATCTATATTTTATCACAATTTTAAAAATTGTTTATGTAAGGATAACACCTTCCCTGTAGGGCATAGCAATCCTTTGTTTTAAAGGTGTCTGAAGAGAAGTGAAGAGGGACTCTGTGTGGCCACTGTAATGGAAGCCAGGTACTTACACTAATTCCAGTCTTAGTAAGTCCTGTGTTCTCTGTGGATCTTTCCTCTCCAAGGTCCATCTTTAAAGCATGGGTGCCGGGTCCAAGCGAAACATTCTAATCTGGCCTGCGATGTGACCTGGGCAGTAAGGATTTTTGAAAGCTCCTTGGAGCTTGAATTGTAGCCAGGACTGTAGGTCATTGGTTGGATCAGTGATTTGTCACTTGTCGAAGGTTAAACATGATCTTCTTGAGGGTCTTGTCAAACTACATATGCCGAAGTCTCCGCCATTCTCTTCCTCACTGTCCCGGGTAATTCTGATTACCGCCGTCTCCTCTCCCTCAACTAATATGAGAAATATACCATTAGAAAGCCATTTTCAGAGAAAATATGTTCATGAACCTCAGTTGCAGGAGCTTGAGTTCATTGTCAGCTGGGTTTGTACATGATCAAGGTCCTTACTGAGATTGGTAAGACAGTCACAGTTTAGGCTGTACGTGTACACATAGCCCACCTATCTTTTTTAATCTGCAGAGTCAGTCAAAGCTTATAGGTAAAATATAGCACTGATGCTTAAAATCAAACTGCTGAATGATAACAAAACTTCACTATTTTGTTTAGAAATTAAGTTTGACAGGCTATGAATAATTTAGAAGATGATCGGAAGAACAAAGGAATAAAATTTTGTTTTAAGTTCAACATTTCTGTGGGGGTATTAAGCCCTGCCAAGGGTTATTTTCCTTAACTTCCTAAAAATCAGTGGTGTCAGAGGGAACTTGAAGAACCTTGGAGGATTGTAGCTGTAGTGTCAGAGTGTGCGTTGTATAAAATAATTCCAAGTGGAAACAATTATCTACATATTTAGTCATTGTAAGCCAGTTTAGATACCCATGAGATCAGAAATTTGGCAGTACAGGAGACAGGGAACTTGCCAACTTAATGTTGTTTAATATTAATTAAATTTAATATAAACCAGTTATATGTTTTTCACATATTCCCAGGCAGAATGCCAGAGAAGAAGAAATAAATCTATATTCATATTATACACAGTTAAATTATATCATCAAAATTTATTCTTAATTATACATTCACATTATATAATATATATTATCTTATCTTCTAATTTTCTGAACATTTCTAGAATAACTGAAAAGGAGAAATGGATTACCAAATCAATAATTTTCATGAAATAGAAAAATTTACTTGTATACTGACACAAGTATTATTCATACAAGTACAAATTCTCTGTACATTATGAAGAAGGCTAAATAATGCTACATGCCCTGCGCAATAAACACTCGGGAGTGGGAGCAATTAACGTTGCCCAGAATTTTGTGAGACAATATGGAGAAGGTGATTACTTAACTGTGTTTTAAAGCATTTCTAAGACTATCCAACACCACTGGGAAACACCATTACTGAGCTGGTGCTACCTTGGAAAGGTATCCAGTAACACTTAGAGAGCAAAGGGAGGATATCAATCTTGGTGGATAATCACTGCATCAAAGCTTTGATGGCTTTCTCTTTAGGATGATGATCACATCTTACACATGTAATAGAACTATCATTGTTCCTTTGTCCTCTGGTACAAGTATGTGATATTTACAACAGGGCGAGAAGTCTGCAACTTCGACTTAGTATCCCAATTTCTGTTATAGTTGGTCTTTCTAATATTTAGGTGATTAATAATTAATGAAATGTATAGAAAATTAGGCTTCTCAGCATTGGCTTTAATGTAGCAGAAACACTGGCTGTACATATGGGAGAGAGTGGAAAAAGTTGTGGCTACAGGGTCATAGAAACTAGGTCCGTAATCCTTGTCATGTTCTAAACTCACCCCACAGACCTCATATTTTGTTAGATTTAAGATAGGAGATAAATCTGTACTTCACAAGCCAGAATTGTTAATAAATTCAGTGGGGAGTTTTGAAAATATAAAGATTCTCAAGAATGATTAGCCCACAATTTAGGCATGAAGTAAGCCCTAGGAGTGTGCATTTATAAAAATTGTCCAGAAGAGATTGCTGCTTCCAACCAAGATAGAATAGCAGAAACTATGTTTACTCTCCTACAGAAACTAAAAACTAGACAAAACACATGGCACAATGATTTTTAAAACATTAAGTATCAGACAAACAGAAGGCAATAACTCCTGGGAGATACAAAACAAATGAGGTGAGCCCTGCAATTATTTCAGGTAACTGCTTTGAGAGAATTTCCAGGTTGTAGTGTTGGTGGGAGGGATCTAGATTGAGCCTGGTGGTCTCCGTGGACTGGGGAAATTGACTTGGGAATCCAAGGAAGCCAAAGTAGCTAGAGTTTACAGGATGAAGTACCAGAGAAGAGAAAGCAGTGCACAGAAAAGAGTCTGAAAAACTGCAGAGTTCTTCCCCTAGTCTTCATCTGAGTACCGATCAGTTAGTTGCACGCACGTAGAAAACTACACGATGACAAGAAAAAAGACAACATCAACTTTTGATTAAAACTCTCAGCAAACCAGAATAAAAAAGAAAACACACTCAACTTATTAAAAGATATTTATGATAATTTATAGCTAATGTTATACTTAAAATGGAAAAATTATGTTTCTTTAAAATCAGAAACAAGAAAGGATTATCTGCTCTCATCCTTTCTATTCGATGTTGTGCTGGACATTCTAACTAGTGCAATTAGGTAAGAAAAAGAAAAAAAAAATGCATCCAGATTGAAAATGGTGAAGTAAATTTGTCTTTACTTGCAGGTGACCTCATTTTCTAAGTAGATAATCCCATGGAGTTTATATAAGAGTTATTCGAACTAATAATCAGGTTTAGCAAAGTTGCAAGATGGAAGATTAACATACAAAATTCAATTGTATTTAAATATCTTAGCAATAAATATTTAGAAATCGAAATAAATGTCATTATTAATAGCATATAAACATGAAATACGAGCAGCAGGTGGGAAAGGAGAATGTAAAATCCAAGTATATAATAATTAATATTCTTAAAATTTGAACAGCACTTTCTACTAACTGTGTAGATACTGGATGTTAGTGGTGAGTGGTGAGGATTAAATGAGATAAAAGCATGCACAGAAAATGAAGAAAAAAGTATCACACTTATATTAGGAATTTTGTAATGCTAGTAAAAAAAATACGTGGTTTTCAAGCACCCTCTTCCCCCAAGTCATGTTTTCTTTTAGAATTTGGAATAGTAGAAGCATTTCTTTTGGGAGAATAATGCAAGCTGTGCGATTTGTTCTATTTCCATTGTTGCTGTGGTTAGATCGATACTCAGAACCAATTATGAATTATAGTCTTAATAATTCTAAAATACCTATCAATTTTATAACCGAGGTATCTTTCCTTTGGTGCTAGTTTTTTGTTTCAATTAACTTTCTCATAAACTGTTGATAAAAACGCTACATAACTAAACACTATATAAAACACATGACACAATGATTTTTAAAACATTAAATATCAGACAACAGAAGGCAATAACTCCTGAGAGATGCAAAACAAATGAGGTAAGCCTATTTTTTATTGAGAAGAGAGAAATAAATAAATAATATGTGTATGTACGTACATTATAAATAATTGTATGTAATTATGTACGTATATGTATGTATATGTGTGTATATTTTTTATATATACATACATATACATATATACGTACATGGAAAACCCTAGCTACATGTTTATTCACACTCACTCAATAAACATATAGGAACTACTGAGGTAGATTTTATAGAATCCCTACCTGGATGGAAACTAGCCTCATGGCTGTACAATCACCCAGCATTTGTGAGTGTGTGTGTGTGTATGTGAGTCTATCTTGTGTGTCTGTGTACCTTGATTCCATTGAATCTCAGTCTTTAGGGACTTTGGGTTGAAAGAAAATCCATCCTTTTTTGGCCAAGGAGGATGAGGCGTTAGCTAATTAAATTCCGCGTAGGCATTTTTCCTGATGCAATAATACTAAATCCAGGGATAAGTTGTCTTGGCAACTGCTTTGTTACTAACGTGCTTTTTAGGATTGTGAATAAACATGTTTGAGAATGTAAATCACCAGCTGAGGTTCAACAGATTTTTTTTCTCTTGTTCTACCAAAGAAACTGGACACTAATTGATAATACAGTGCACTTCCATTTATGTTTGAATAATGCAGCAACATTTACAGCTCAGTCTTTGGATGATTACATATATTATTCATGCTTTCAAAATGTAATGAAGATACATACTTAATATCAGTTTTCCAATTCAACTTTATAACCAAGCTCAGAGATGGTTATAGTTTTTGGCAGAGATTTTTAATTTTCTGCAAATGCTTTCTTGGGATTCACAAAACAGCTTCAAGCATAAACATGTTTAGCTTGGGGGAAGGGAAGGGCAAAAACAATGCAAATGCGATGACATACATATGCAAAAATTATTCTGGTGATGAATCTGGCAAAAATTTGACTATAGTTCTTTTTCTCTAGTAATTTATTTTTAATTAAAAAAATATCTTTTAGCATTCAATGCACTGGAAAAATTGGCGAGAGAGTCAATTTCTTAACTATCCATTTTGTGGCCAGCTAATGTGCACTGATGTCCTTTCTTAACACTAAAATAATATGTACCGATAGAAATATTTTTGCTAGATAATAAAGTAGTACTCACTTACAGAGGCTTCATATTGAGTTCTTCACAGAAACCTAGGGTATTACACAATTATGTAAGAGTGAAAGCGGCCTAAGATCATTTTGTCTGAATACTTCACCTTATAGAAGTGGGTATTGAGATTCAGATAAACCATAAATATCCTAACCCTATTGTTAACTACGATCAGGCCATGTGTTCTCCCGTGTAACAGCATGACATCCTTCTCTGAACATATTTCTGGCTAAAACAACCCCTTCATAATATTTTTTCTTCCTTATAGAGATAAAATGGTATAGTTTAAAAATATGGGCTTCTGAGTTATATAGATGTTGTTTTAAATTTGGATTACATTAAAAACAACAACAACAACTAACTTCTATAATCTTGATGCTCATATAATTCTTATGATCAGGTAGTGAGTTCCCTCTTTATAAAATACATGGAAGGTTTCTACCAGCTGGAACTTATAAAGATGACAAAGGGCCAAAAAATTCCATAGAGAGCTTCAACAGTAGACTCAATCAAGCAGAAGAGAGAATCAATGAACTCAAAGGCAGGTCATTTGAAATTACCCGGTCAGAGGAACAAAGAGGAAAAGAAAAAAGAGTGGAGAAAGCCTGTAGGAATTTAGGACACCATCAAGCGAAAGAATAAAGATGACAAAGGAAATTTGTGAGACACTGATCCCACTCTGCCATGAGAACTTTACAAGGTGTGCAACACATGGTTATAGTCAATAGCTCTACAGAACAAAATGTGTTTAACAATTGCTTTTCATTTAGTGCCCACTGGTGAACAGTTTCATTTTGGGTTGCTAAGGAAGAGGCTGCTGGCTTGTTCTGTCTGAATCTTTTTCTCTGTGACCCATTTTGCTCTTTATCTATGTAGCTTATTGCGCAACAAAACCCTGCTCTTTAGTTCTTTATATGTCACAGTTTTAAAAGCCTGCAAGATACTACAGCTCTCTCTCTCTAGCACAATGGGCTTCACTCTTTTTTTAAGCCCAGCACTTCTGAAGTATATGGTGTGTTTCTTCAAAGAGAGTCACTTATGAGGGCAATACTGTCCAGTAGAACTTTGATGGAAATATTCTGTGTCTGCACCAACCAGTATTGTAGCTACTAGCCTCATGTGACTATTGAGCATTTGACATATGCCTAAAGTGACAGAGGAGCTGAATGTTTAATTTTACTTAATGTAAATTTAAGTTTAAATAGCCGTATGAATAGAGGTCACTATGTTGTACAGTGCAGATCTAGAAACTGAGTGGAGAGAGACGGGGAGCCTGCTTCTCTATCTCCCTTTCTTCCTACTTTCCTCAACTCTTTCTTTCTACTTCAAGTTTTTTCTCTGCATGATAAAGTAATCCAGGCCAAATAGCTTTCCTAATATTATTCCAAGGAAGCACATGTGCTTTTTAATGGAATGCTTTTGGGGACAGTCTAAACTGGAAAAAAAAAAAAAAAAGAATTTCAAGCTCTATAGAATCCTGGTAGGGAAAATCCTTTAAGGTTAAAGTGGTTATCTTGTGTCCCTCCAGCCACACCTGTGGATAGTTATTCACTGACAGTTTAGAACACAAGCCTAGTTAAGCATCACCATTACTATTGATGTTGATATTTCTTGATCTGCTATAGTAATATCTTATCTTCTTTATATAATCTGATACATGTTTTAAGACAAATAGCTTTTACTATTTTATTTTTTTTTTGGAGAAAGGGTCTCACTCTGTTGCCAGTCTGGAGTGCAGTGGTGTGATATCATAGCTCACTGCAGCCTTGAACTCCTGGTCTCAAGTGATCCTTTGGCTGTGTCCTCCCAAAGTGCCAGAATTACAGGCCTGAGCCACCTGGATGAAACTGACATAGTATAGGTATTGTTCCCCTCCAATCTCATGTCAAAATATAAGCCCCAATGTTGGAGATGGGGCTGGGTGGGAGGTGATTGGATCATGGGTATGGATTTCCCTCTTGGTGCTGTCATCATGAAAGTGTGTTCTCATGAGATCTGGTTGTTTGAAAGAGTATAGCACCTCCCTCCCTCTCTCTCTTGCTCCTATTTCAGTCACGTGACATGCCTACTTCCACTTCACCTTCTGCCATGATTGTAAGTTTGCTGCAACTCCCTAGAAGCAAAGGAGATGCCAGCATCATGCTTCCTGTACAGCCTTCAGAACCATAAGCTAATTAAATCTCTTTTCTTTATAAATTACCCAGTTTCAGGTATTTCTTTACAGGAATACAAGAACACACTAATACAGATTCTGTTGTTAAAACAGGTAACAATTTCATTTTTCAGGCTCTGCTCATCTATTTCTAGTCCTCCATTCCCAAGAGTTATATAAATACAGATAGCACTTGCACCACAATAATTTCTTTAAATCTTGTGCTCATTCATTGCAGGAACACCACACTTCCTTCTAGTAGTACTGCAGGAAAACAAAAAGAAACAAGATGAATACATGCATTCATTTTCTGGGGTAAAGCCCTTAGGAAGTTTTCCTAGTTGCAGGAGAAATTTCTGTTCCATGCCGGGTGTCTGGCTTGGAGACTTTTTGGGGAGGAAATTTTTGTATCTCAGCTTCTGAAGTCACATTCTTTAACAGTGTGTGTGTGTGTGTGTGTGTGTGTGTGTATGTGTGTGTGTGTGTGTGTGTCTGTGTGGAGACAGGGTCTCACTATACTGCTCAAGTCAGTCTTGAATCTTGGCCTCAAGTGATCTTTCTACCCTGGACTTCTCTTGAACATGGATATTTGAATGCATGACCTGTCATCATTGAAGCCCAGCTCTGTTACATCAAGATTTGGCTTTGTAGACCGCAGCTGGCTCATCACTCAGTGAAGTAAGAATCAAAGGTCAGAGCCTTCTTGATAGCAGAGTACAGAGCTATTGTCTAAACCTTTAGTCCAATAAATTACACCCTAAAATGGTGCCCAAATATAACTCACTGTGTGGTGAATACACTGGTCCATTCCGCAATGTTCCCAACTCCTCTTAGCTGACTAAAAGATCCTTTATATACTTTTTTTTTTCTGAGGTGTGCATAGTCTGATTTTTTACACCTTGATAAAATCCTTCACATCTAGAGTGGTGTGGTACCAAAATAATTTGTGGCCCACTGATCACTCACACTGATAAGCAATTTGATCAATAAGCTGAACATGTAAAGAAAATTGTAGTGCAGTTAAGAAAACTAATCTCCACTCATTAAATTAATATTTTGATGTTTTAGAACCTCTGTCTGGGTACATTTTTTCATTTAACAGCAATAAAAATTATGAGTGAGTTTTCATTATTAGCCTTCCTTGTAGATGAGGAAATCAAAGCTTAGGGAGTTTAAGTAAATTCTGTAAGACTTCACAGCATGTAGTGGCAAAGTTGGCACACAAATCCAGGTCTATCTGGCCCCAGTTATGACTTATCACACATTTAGTCCAGTTGAAAAAGCAGATATATGTGAATAATGTAATTCATACATGATATTTAGACTCCAGGTGCCTTTACCAGTGAGTCTAATCTATTTATTAGAGCCAACTTGGCAAGAGTTGGAAATTAAGATATTTGTCTAAATTAGTTTGTGTCTTTGAAGAAAATGTATTTCTTTAACATTATCACAAAGTGCAATTTTTCATGAAGTAAAAATTTCTCTCAGCCAATTTGTCCTCATTATCAAGTTAAAAATGGATACACTTGTGTATACATGTATTGGGTATCTTGTTTTCCATATACACACGTATAAGTCCAGTCTTGAAATCTGACATTTGTTCCTGAATTTTTCCTCTTAGTATGGAAAGGAATTTTATTTTCTCAAGATACTGGTTTAAAACATTGGTTTTCTATTTGACTTTATCTAGCAGTTTGCCGTATGGCTTTGACTAAGACAATTAATTCCTGGGGCCTCTGGCTGTCCTCCTAAAAAATGGGAATGAGACCTGTATTATTGTTTATATATATATATTTTTTTCATGGAAGTAAAGACTTCTAAGTGGATTTCAAAAACATTTATTTTAAATTCTGGGGTACACGTGCAGAAGGTGCAGGTTTGTTATAAAGGCAAATATGTGCCATGATGGTTTGTTACACCTGTCCACCCATCATCTAGGTGTTAAGCCATGCATGCGTAAGCTATTTTTCCTGGTGCTCTCCCTCCCCCAATCTCCCTGAGAGGCCCTTGTGTGTGGTGTCCCCCTCCCTGTGTCCATGTGTTCTCAATGTTCAGCTCCCACTTATGAGTGAGAGCATGTGGGGTTTGGTTTTCTGTTCCTGTGTTAGTTTGCTGAGGATGATGGCTTCCATTACAAGCCGATTTGACATAACCAGTTCTTTGTCCTTTAGTACCTTGTCCTCTTATGGCCTCTGTCACTTGCAATTCAACAGGGATAAGTCAACCCTGTTTATGTAAACTCCACACCATACCTGCTGTTCATGTCTGCATCTGTAGCACTCTCTTCATGGAGCATCCAGAACTCTCTTTTCCTTGTAAATATTTATGTTCCAGATATATCAGAATATATACAACAAGGAAAAGCTAAGGCCATCTGAGATATACCTGTTTTAAGGCTGCTGATGTAAGTGTCGCTGCAGAGCGCCACAAGGTGGCAGCGTCTCAGAACATTAGGCCAGCGGAAGTCCTGCGTCCTGGTGTTGGCAGTTGAAATGGCCTTCACAGCTCAGTTATACTGAGGTAATATGGTCAAGTCGGCTGAGATGATGCTACTGGTAGGTCCACTAGCCAGCAGTCTAGAAAACCACTTTTTGACAGTATTTTCTAAAAAGCAGTAGCAACATCATTCTTCCATTTTAGAGTGCTTTATTCAGAAAAAAAAAAAAAAAAAAAAAAAAGCTTTCAGAATGCTTTATTTCACTTAAGAATGTAAAACCTACATTGGTGGGGAAAAAAAAGGAAGGAGCGGACTCTTCCTTGTATTTTCCTGTCATTCAAAGTCATTGATTCTCGACCTTGACTTTACATTAGAATATCTTGGGAAACTTTTCAATCACTCTCTGGGACAGGGGCCCAGAGATTAATTTTTGAAAGCACTCTAAGTGATTCTAAAGTGCATTCAGGGTTGAGACTCATCTTTTCAGTTCCTCTCCAACCATTCATTCATTCACTCACCATTTATTGCATACTTCCTCATGTCAGCTTTGAGCAAGGAAATGGTGATGATGTAAAATGAGATTCTACAATTGCCCCCAAAGACCTTGCAAGTTAGTAATTCAATTTAATGGAAGTCAATTCAGCAAACATTTATCAAGCTCCTAGAACATGACAGGTGCTATGCTAGACACTGAAACGACAGAGATGAGAGCAATTCCAGCTGCCTAGCACTTATATTCTAGTGGGCGGTGTGTATGACTGAGTATCAGATGAGGCAGAATATGATATTATTCATATTTTACCTTTCTGTAATATTTGATAGTAACACAAAACATTTTAACCAACTTATATAACTTGAAGCTATATAATTCAATAATTCTTGAGATTTGCAAGCAGCTAGATATCATTATCTGAAGTTCAGAGAGGAGCCTAACATGTTTTGCCAATGTGAAGCAGAATAAGTCACCATATCCAAGTCTAGGGACTCTGTGGTAAGTGCTTACTGCCTCATGTATGCTAGGTATGGGGCTCAGAAAAGGGTGGTTGATTTTGAATGCAGAAGTGAAGGCGTGTGTCTCAGGGTATGTTTGTGCATTTGTCTTGGAGATTTTGTTTCTGAGACAGTGACTAGAAGATCATTTTTGTCTACACATTTTCTAAGACACTTCCTCCATCTAATCAAAGGCTTTTCTGGTCCAGTCTTAATGTATGTATTCTTTCTTTTCTTTTCTTTTTTTTTTTTTTTTTTTTTCAATTTTCAATTTCAATTTATTAAAGAATTTGAAGATTTTTGCAAAAGGATTGTGGGGCAGAATCTGTCTAGATTCTAATAATTACCTCTCTGACATCTGACATGACAGCCATTTATCTTACTACGAAGCTATCCAAAGTGCGCAGCTCAGTTTTCATAAAGTCAGCACTTTCCACTCTCTTTTTAGATCAGTTTGTGTAACTTAAATTAACTTAATACGACTACAAGATTAACCATTGGCTTGAGCAGGCTGGGGAATAAATGTAACTGCCCTTAGTGTACTTCCCAGCTAGTGGGAGCAGGCATGTTGGGCAGCCAGCAACCTGGCATGGGTGCTGGCCCCCCACATTTTGCAGATGGAATGGGGAGTATTAGTTAATCTGGGTAGACAGGTAAAGGGAGACTGGTTAAAAGCATTTTGCAAAACTTGGCAACCACTATTAATATTAGTCCCCGACTATGAACTCAAACCTTCCATGCCCACTAATCCATAATCCTCAATTCTAAGAAAGATTTATTTATTTATTTAATTGCATTTTAGGTTTTGGGGTACATGTGAAGAACATGCAAAGTTGTTGCATAGGTACACACGTGGCAGTGTGATTTGCTGCCTTCCTCCCCATCACCTACATCTGGCATTCCTCCCCTTGCTATCTCTCCCTGGGTATATATCCAAAGGATTACAAATCATTCTACTATAAGAACACGTGCACATGAATGTTCATTGCAGCACTGTTTACAATAGCAAAGACCTGGAACCAACCCAAATGCCCATCGACGATAGACTGGATAGGGAAAATGTGGCACATATACACCATGGAATATTATGCAGCCATCAAAAACGATGAGTTTGGGTCCTTTGTAGGGACATGGATGAATCTGGAAACCATCATTCTCAGCAAACTGACAGAAGAGCAGAAGATCAAACACCACATGTTCTCACTCATAGGCGGGTGTTGAACAATGAGAACACATGGACACAGGGAGGGGAGCACTACACACTGGGGTCAGTTGGGGGGAAATAGGGGAGGGACGGTGGGGGATGTATGTATTCTTTCTATATGCTCTCCTAACTTTCACCAAAATGATGATCTCTAAAATTGCTCTGGATGTCTATTTTTGTGAAGAGAAAATGAAAATATTTAGTTCTATAAGCAGATCTAGTTGTCATCAGCTTCTGTCAATCACAGAGAGCATTAATTAGGGGAATGAAAATTAGTTCAAATGTATGTAAAGAAGCCATACAGGTCTCATTTTTTTTTTTTCAAAGATCTCTATTCTTTCAGCTAATAGAGTGTTAAGCCAAATACCATCTGGATTAGGACTGGCACATGAGATAGTTTACCATGAACATGTTTTAAGAATTAATCTTACAGCACATCTGGAGAGTTGACTCTTGAGGGAGTCAAGTGTGGGTGAATACCTTCCCTGTGTGGAGAACCAAAATGATATGAGCACCCTTCAGGGTCAGTAAGCTTAGGAAGATATTCCTGGGTAGCTTGTAGGTTTTATGTTCCCGTAATAGCAGAGAATCCACTCAGTGGTTGACTTCTAGATGATCCATGACCTCTCTATTATACAGAAGACTCTTACCAAATATCCTACCCAGTCACTGTGGAATTGTCTATCCTTTCCCTAAATGCTCAGCTTTATTAGGACTTTCAGATTTAGGTGCCATAGCCTAAGAGAAGCATGAATCAATTGGAATATACCCAGCAGAAAACATTCAGATGATGACAAATGTGAACATCATTTTACAGAACGATTGAGGAACTGTGAAGTTTTCAGCTGAAGCAGCAGCAATGCAGAAATGCAAATGGAAGCACAATAAAGTCAAATATGCAAACATCTGTTTGTGCAAGAGGGGTTACACTTGTTCTGTCCAGTTCCAGAGAGAAGGAAAATGACTAGAGGTGGAAGTGACAAGGGGGAAGATTCTACGCTATCCTGAGATGGAAGAACATTAGAATTGAGCAGAAGAAGCAGTTGCTTCACAAACTCCCTGTTTTCAGAAGTGTTCAAGAACATTATATTAAGAATCTGGAAGTCCAGCAGACAAGCCCCATCAGCAGCAGGAGGCAGCAGTCCTGGGAATTTAGGAGTGATCTGAGAAATTTTTCTTTGAAAGAGGGCCCATGAGTTAGAATAGAATGGTCTTGGCCTTATGCCAATAGGGAATGCTTTGAGGACTCCAGCTGGCCCTGTTTTGGGTCCTGAAATCCTTTCATTAGTCATTTTTCTAGTTAGTAAGTCTTTGAAGGCCTCAAAGACAAACCTGAAAGCAGTTCTTTATCCAGGGGCTGAAACTGATCACTGCTTAGGCCAACAGTTAGGACTTAGGAGAGGGGACTCTGGCAGATTTGGCCCAAACTAACAAACATAGGTAGGGCTCATATGAAGCCTGAGGAGGAGAAGATTCTAAAACTATGAGCTTTGGGTGCCAAGTACTCATAGCTTGGGCCTAGTTATCACTCCTGTGATCGGGAAGCTCACCTTTAGAAAGAGATGCATTAGACTTTCATCATGGGGCGTCTGGAAGTTTAACTTAAAGAAATGATGACTCAGAAGTGTGAGTGGGCATATGAGAAAGGCCTATTGGGTAGAAGAGGGGTTAGATTCTCTCCACCCAGCACTAGAGGGAGGAAAATCACCAAGAGTGGACATGTTGAGAGGACCAGGTTTTAGTATAATCAATAACTGGAGGGACTTTAGAACTACTGAGCAGTGGAAACAGCTGCTTTATCCTATGTCCTGTCTGTAGAGATGTTTAGGAACCAGTTGTCACTTCAGGGAAGAGGAGCCATCATTCATTCATCTTTCGTCCTTATTGAAGTAAGAGTTGAGATTAAATAAACTCTAATGATGTGTACAAAGTTGGATAAAATGTATTTTCCTGAAATTTTGTGAAACTACAAAACACTTTATTTATTCAACATTCCTGGATGCCCTAAAAAGGATAGTTCTCCTCCACCCGTATCTAATAGTTCTGATTACACTGTCTGTGCCAGAAGACACTGTTATCTCAGGTGAGGGCAGAGACTATGTATTTATTTTTCTCTGAATCCCTACCTCATAGGACACTGTCTGCTATAGAGTAAGTATAAAGCAAATGTTTGTTGAGTGAATGTCAAATTAATTTTGTTAATTATATGGTTCAAACATGGACTGAGTCTCTTCTGTGTGTAAGGCATGCCTACCCAAAATATATTTATAGCTAACATTTATCAAATTCTTGTTATTGGCTAGGTGCCAGGGTTTCATACACTGACTCATTCAATCTCTACAACTAACCCTCTTAAAAATATCAAGCAGATGCTATCACTATACCCTTTTAACTAACAAGGAAACTGAGGCATACGGAGGCCAAGCAGCCCTCCTTCCCATGTTTACACAGAGAGTACCTACATGATACAAGATTTAAATTTAGTTTGTGTGACTCCAAAGCCAACACAGTTCATTATTACAGTGTACTCTCAGTAAAGGAGCGATCATTAATAGGGTAAAATATTTTTAAAATATAGCTAACAATTATTGCATGCTTTCTATATGCCAGTTCCTAAGCATTTGTTCATGTATCCCTCACATTAGCCTCACAGTGTAGGTGCTATTATTCTGCCCGTTTTACAGATAACACATAGAGTGTAGGATTTTTGGATCGGGGCTTATCAGACTGTAAAACTTATTCTCTGAATGTTGTGTGATCTTCTTCCATTGTGAGGGGACTGAAGAAATAAGTATCCCCCAAAATGAAAGAGGAGAAGGACACTGAAGGAGCAAAAACATTTTTGGGGATACTGAAGGAACAAGTCGTGACTCCTCTTCTACGAAGTGTGTGTGTTACTTTAACATTTGTATTTGGATTTGACCTGCCACTGGATCTCGGCTCATCCAACACTTTATTAGGATATTACCATTCCAAATGTTTGTTATGCATGCCTTCTGGATATTGATTAGCT